TCATCCAGTCTGCAGATTTCAGCAAAATCTAAACAAACATATAAATTGATTTAACTTCCTAACATGTTGCAGATGTGTTCGCAGCCTGAATGTTGATCCACTCCAACTGAACATTACTTCTCAGGTCAAAACAAAAATCAAGCTGACGGGATGCAGTGGGTCACGTTCAGTAAATGTCTGGATTTAAATCACCACCAGTTCATAAACCAGACCTTTCTTAGGTGGTACACTGAGATTCATTAAATGTTTGTCATAAACAATGCTTTGATGCTTTCTAAATCAATTCAATAGATGAGTTGGAAGTTATGAAACTGTTTCTTTACATTTGATCTCTGAAGTGAAAGAGGTTCATTAAATCAGTTTTAATGCAGTCTTGTCTTGCTGGATGATTCATTTCCTCGTGCTTTTAGGTTCGCAAGTGCAGGAATCTTTACTGATAAACTCAGAGGAATGTTTTGAATGCTCATAGCAAAACATACATGTGATATCCTGTATGTTAGTGTTATGATTAAATCCAACTTTAGTCAAAAAGTTCTGAAACGCCTCAATGTTTCAGGGCTTACAGATGGATTCCTGAACACAGACTTTCTAGTGTTGGATAATTGACTGTGGTTTACACTATTGAATACAAAAAATTTTTTAGTAGAATCCAAATTTTCATTCTAGTGCAGTTGGTCCTTCATTACCATCACTTGGTGGCACTACTAAAAACCCTTGCGACTACTTTCCACTAGAATCTTTTTGCAGCAGCTAGTCTCCTACATTTCACAAGGTTGGAGCGCACACAGGATACTGTTCATAACCTTAGCTTTTGTAAAATCTCTTGGTCCTTCAAAGTACTCTACAGCTCAAACATCAGGTTTCCTACAGGAATTAGACACTAATGAAATGTTGATTTTTTTTGCCAGTTTCAAAAATGTTGACTCCATTCAGTGAAAGCTTTTGGAGAAACAAGCCCACTGCATTACAGATGCCCAACAGTGGGTTTTAGGTCATCTTGGTCTAGTTTCACTCCAAACCCACCTGGAAGCTCAGATTTAAAGAGTTCTAATTGTACAAAGTCCAGTAATGCTTTACAGAATAGGCTTTAAATATTCATACTGGGTGGCATGTAGATTGTTTCTAAAGGTCATGGAGGTAAACTACTCTAAACAAGCTCACCAGGTTGTGATGCCAGATTTCAGTTAATCTGAGGGAATGGCAGCATTGCAACAGTTAACTGCAGTATAAAGTAAAAACAGGTGTTACTTTTATTTTCTGCTATTTGGATGTTTTGTCCATTTAAGAGCTGCGATTGAGCAGCAACAGTGATCATGCTGTTTGTTACTTACCTTTTAATACTAATTTTGAAAAGTTATTTACCAAAAGGGCTATAAAAAAAAAAAAAACCTGAAAGCTTATTGATACCTTTAAATGTCACCCTGACATTCAATTCACTTTTAAACTCGAGTGCATCGCAGGATCATCATTTTAGATCAAAATGCTTAAGTTCATGTTCATAAATTGAATTAAACGCCCTACATTTCTCTTGTTTTAGCCGATGAACAAGCAGATTCTGGTTTCTGGTGTTTGTTTGCCAGAACACAATGTTTAAATCAGTTTTATTCATGCATACGTCCACCTAGGATCTAAGAATTCCTTTTTGAAGCATGACTTAAAAAACAAATTTTCCACAATACTGGCCGTTTCTCTCAATGAAAAGTCAATCGTGAGGCTGCCACATTTGTGTTGAAAGCTTGATGCAGTTGTGAGCTACATCCCAGTAGATACATTAGTGACCAATGACAGGCTAGATGTGGCTATGCACCCCTCTAGATCCACTCTTGGTGGCTCAGGTTATATTCTAGGTATCCTTTGTTCTTTAACCATTACTCAGACAAAATTGAAATTTAAAAAAGCTTTTTATTCTCACAGATCAAAAGTTACACAGTGAAAATATATTTTTGATGTGTGTTTGTCACATGTTGTCATTACATACAGAAATACAATTGCAATCATGAGTAACAAAAGCCTTTAATACAGTTTGAGTTAATGCAACAAGTCAATATTTTCAGTGTTGACCCCTCTTCAAGACTTCTACAATTCTCCCTGGCATGATCTCAACTTCTGGACCAAATCTTGACTGATAGCAGTCCATTCTTGCACAATCAATGCTTGCATTTTGACAGAATCCCTAGGTTTTCGTTAGTCTACCCGTCTCTTGATGATTGACCACAAGTTTTCAATGGGATTAAGATCAGGAGAGTTTCCAGGCCATGGACCCAAAATCTCTATGTTTTGTTCCCTGAGCCAGTTAGATATCACCTTTGCTTTATGGCATGGTTCACAGAAGAGAAACAATGACGCCAAGCATCAGCCTTTTTGTAGTGACAACATGCCATTTACTCAAAGAACCCACCCAGAGCAACAATTATGCCTTAATAATTATCAGCTGCCCCGGAAAGCTAGCAGAAGTTATTTAGCTTTTGGATTCTCTTGGAAGTAGGTCAACACGAGGTGCAGTCATGATTCTCTGACCCCAAGTTCACTTGTTCAAACCTGAAGGGGAGATCAGTTAAATTTTAGATGCATGGATTCCACAGAACCCAAATCATTTAATGCTCTGCATGTCATTCTAAGTTGTTCACTTTGACAGAAGTCTATAATAAATGTGCCAAATACAGTTCACAGTGACAGAGCCGGCCTGATTGCACATATTTCTTTCAGTATCATGGCACAATACTATCAGATTTAATTAGATTAACATCTTACCAATCCTGAAGCCCCAATCCTAAAAGAAAAAATATAAAGTTGTAATAAAAGTCTGAATAATAAATACCGGCAAGATAGTGCTGCAAGATTTAACTGAATTTGCATGTTCAGAAAACCAAGATTCACCACTGTACAATCTGACGGTAATTCCAGCTATTCAGTTTAGTTTTCATCACAACAATGCATCTCAGTATTATTCATTACATCAGATAATCACCTTTCGCCAGAATCCATGCAGGCAGGATCAGCTGCAGAAAAGAATTCAAAAGTTAAAACCTGAAGTCCTGCTGGTCATATAATTTTCAGATTTTTTTAATGACTCAGAAAAATGGATCAGAAACTTCGTCAGTTGTCGCATCTGACGGCACTTCCTATTCCAGGCTTTCATCACAGATCACACAAGAATTAAAAGACTGACCACACAAAAAAGGAAAAGCTATCATAACAGGATAAACTTTTCAAACCAATCCAATCCTTTTCAAACCAAATGAAATTCAAGTTAAATGTTTGTACTACTGTTGGTGCAGCATAGAGCTTTAATGCTTCAATATATGAATATACTCACATCATCCACTTTGTTGAGTTTCATGTCCGGAGTGAAATCAGATATCAGATCAGTTGACAACCAGGTGGACACCTTTAAAAATAAAAAATGCATCATTAAAAAACTGAAGTTGTAAAAAAGGTTAACTTTAATCAAATTAGCTACTGCTCAGAAAACTAGTGATCAACACTGAACAATCTGCCGGTAATTCCAGCTATAATAGTTTAAGTTTCATCATAAGAGCAACAAGATTCATACCAAAAAAAAAAAAAAAAAATTAACCTGCCTTAAACTGGAATCCATCTTCAAGTTGCAGGAAGCACAGAGCCTGATAAAGAAAACAATTTATTAATAAACTGATCAAACTAATTATATAATATAACTTCACTAAGGTTGTAGGCTCAGAACAGTGAGAGAAACCTCGTCAGTTGTCGCATCGGACGGCACTTCCTATTCACAGTTTTCATCACAGACTAAAGTGGACATAAACTGGGAAACTTTGCAGCAACTTACCTCCCAGAGGGGCAGCAGCACCCAGAACTGACTGGGTTGGTAGATCTGGTTGCTTCATGGTCTCTAAAAAAGGATAAAAAGTCTTAATTAAACAGACCTTAAAGGAACACCGATGTCGTCTATTCAGATGGTTAACAGTTGGCTAATCAAATATTCAGCTTTATCAGCTGCAGTAGATTCAAACAGGCCTCCTCGCGGTTATCGACCACGTGGCTGCCCAAAGGCTATTGTTAGCAGCTAATTAACCACACAGCACCTCTATTTAAGCTACAGTAACTCTATTTAAGCTACACACATTCAGATAAAGAAAGTCGTGCATTGCACAAATAAAATAAACCGTCTAACCTGGTTACAGAGATGGCCACCAGACTCTCAGACCTGAAGTACGGACGGCTGGAAAGAGAAAGGAACGAATCGAGGAGGGGTTTAGCTTTATAAACCGTGACAGTCGCTTGAATATGACGTAATATTTCAACTTCCCCCCCTTTTTTTTAACATATTCTTTTCTTTATTTTATTTGTTATAATTGAAGATCATACCTTCTATACTTAAACTGCATTTAGGACATCTGATGTAAAATCTACTTGTTTTTTTAGGTTCAAATTTCAGCTTTTCAAACTTTTTTAAATTTGTGTTTTAACATTTTATGTTCTCATTGTCTCTAAAACACGCGTTAATTCTAATTGTAAAAGAAAATTGAATTCAGTTTCCAATGTTTTCGTTGCTCGAAAACGAAACGTTTTCGAGCAACGAAACGTTTTATTTATTTATTTTTATTTTTTGGCTGGTACAGGAAATATGTGTCACTAGCGCCCTCTTCCGGAGTGCAATAATTCCCATTTCCAAATTAAGACGGACAGCGGACCATCCCCGCCCCTTCCTGTTTGCCGCAGCGAGGTGTTTGTTTTGTTTTTTTTTTTACGTGAGAAGAGTAACCAGCCACCAGGGGGTGCTGTTTGTCCACTCTGCCTGGGTCAGCTGTTAAAACAGTTGATTTAACAACAGTTTGAAACATCCTCGACGCATCCCCTGCGTTCAAAGTTTACTCTGCAGACCGTTTCTTCATTATACACATT